AGACAGAAAGATAAAGTCGATAGAATAATTAAAACAAAGAATAACATAAGAGAAGGTGAAAGAAGGAAGAATCGAAGAATAACATAAGGAAAGACAGAAAGACAGAAAGAGTGATAGAATATGCTTAAAACAAAGAATTACGTAAAAGGTGATAGAAGGAAAAAACAAAGCATAACATAAGAATAGAAGGAAGAAACAAAGAATAACAAAAGAGAAGGTAATAGAAGGAAAAAACAAAGAATAACATAAAAATAGAAGGAAGAAACAAAGAATAACATAAGGAAAGACAGAAAGAGAATGTGAAAAAGGAAGGAACAAAGAATGACATAAGGAAGAACAGAAAGAGAAAGTGATAGAATGATTAAAACAAAGAATAACATAAGAGAAGGTGAAAGAAGGAAGAATCAAAGAATAACATAAGGAAAGATAGAAAGAGAAAGTAACAGAATGATTAAAACAAAGAATAACATAAGAGAAAGTGATAGAATTATAAAAACAAAGAATAACATAAGAGAAGATGATAAAAGGAAGAAACAAAGAATAACATAAGGAAAGACAGAAACAGAAATTGATAGAATGCTTAAAACAAAGAATTACATAAGAAATGGTGATAGAAGGAAAAAACAAAGAATAACATAAGTATAGAAGGAAGAAACAAAGAATAACATAAGGAAAGACAGAAAGAACAAATGATAGAATGATAAAAACAAAGAATAACATAAGAAAAGGTGATAGAAGGAAAAAAAACAAAGAATAACATAAGAATAGAAGGAAGAAACAAAGAATAACATAAGGAAAGACAGAAAGAGAAAATGATAGAATGATAAAAACAAATAATTACATAAGTATAGAAGGAAGAAACAAAGAATAACATAAGGAAAGACAGAAAGAGCAAATGATAGAATGATAAAAACAAAGAATTACATAAGAAAAGGTGATAGAAGGAAAAAACAAAGAATAACATAAGTATAGAAGGAAGAAACAAAGAATAACATAAGGAAAGACAGAAAGAGCAAATGATAGAATGCTTAAAACAAAGAATTACATAAGAAAAGGTGATAGAAGGAAAAAAAACAAAGAATAACATAAGAATAGAAGGAAGAAACAAAGAATAACATAAGGAAAGACAGAAAGAGAAAATGATAGAATGATAAAAACAAAGAATTACATAAGAAAAGGTGATAGAAGGAAAAAACAAAGAATAACATAAGTATAGAAGGAAGAAACAAAGAATAACATAAGGAAAGACAGAAAGAGCAAATGATAGAATGATAAAAACAAAGAATTACATAAGAAAAGGTGATAGAAGGAAAAAACAAAGAATAACATAAGTCTAGAAGGAAGAAACAAAGAATAACATAAGGAAAGACAGAAAGAGCAAATGATAGAATGATAAAAACAAAGAATTACATAAGAAAAGGTGATAGAAGGAAAAAACAAAGAATAACATAAGTATAGAAGGAAGAAACAAAGAATAACATAAGGAAAGACAGAAAGAGCAAATGATAGAATGATAAAAACAAAGAATTACATAAGAAAAGGTGATAGAAGGAAAAAACAAAGAATAACATAAGTATAGAAGGAAGAAACAAAGAATAACATAAGGAAAGACAGAAAGAGAAAATGATAGAAGGAAAAACAATGAATAACATAACGGAACAGGCCACGATGGTATAGTGAACGCAAATTGCATGCAAAGCGGGCGCGCGGTTTTTCCCAAACCGGAAGAGGCTTCGTCATACAATCATGATTGAGAACTCCGTCCGTTCAATCGAATTTTAGCGACCGTGATTCTTTTGAATCATGATACAAAACGCATCTTTTTCAGCGTTTCATGTTTGTGTTTTCAAACACGTTTATTTTTACGACCGACGAAAAAATCGCTTGAACGCATTGCGTTTTAAACTAAACGTCTTTAGAAACCGTGATTCTAGGGTGAAAAAGTGTCGATTAAACGCACCCTATCTCTCCCCACCCACCCCCTCTCTCTCTCTCTCTCTCTCTCTCTCTCTCTCTCTCTCTCTCTCTCTCTCTCCCAACACCCACTCTCCTTTTTTTAGCATCACGAAGGATGCATATTGTGCACACATGCATCTCAAATGGGACCTGCGCCGGAGAGCCCTTTGTTGTGGCAAGCAGGGGTCGCAGAGAAATTGACCCCACAATGAGGTACATAATCGTTATCTCGTTTAGCATGCTAAAATCATTTGATGATAGTATTATGTTAGGCACGTGTCTGTGTCTGTTGCTTACAGTAAGACCAGACCTCAAAACATATTGAATAAATTTATGTAAAGGAGATATTTTCCCTCTTCAATATCCCCTTCTTTTCATCTTTAAGTGTGTGTTTCGTGGTGCAAATAAAGTTGATTCGCCTATACGTGCATATCCAGGGGCGCCGATCCGGGGGGGGGGGGGCTCAAAAAAGTATACCAAATATTGACTAAAGACTGCAACACACTTTTAGGCTCTCGCTCCCTCGTGTAATATCCTTCAAAATGTATAGGTAAATATCGCATTAATTCGTCCCCCGCCCCCGCCGGTCATGAAAAGAAATTGCCGCCCCTGTGAATATGCCTTCAGATGATAAATCAAATTGATATTTGGAGTAAATGTAATAAATGTAAAGACTGCTCACAAATTGTATTTGAAGACCGAAATAACTTTCAACAAAATACATAATTGTCTTGTAAAATATAGCAAGTGGCGTGTGGTGTCAACATAGATTTTCTCACTTTGGGTCCGAAGGAAAATAAAACCCGACTAATAAAATGTTTTCTCACGATCGTCCGCATTCTTCTATGAATCACCTATCTGCGCAGTTTTTTTTGTTTTTGTTTTTGTTAAAGATTTTTTTTAAAGTTATTTTCTCTCAAATCAAATACATATTGTACAAATGATAATATTATATAAGTATATGTATATGTGTAAGTATATGTTTAATAGTGTAAAATAATATCTGCTCCAAATGATACAAGCACTTACAAGTAAAAAGCAAAAACAACAACTACAACAACTACAACAACACACAAGTGATGATTTCTTATATGTTGCTATAAATGCAACCTACTTGCTCTTCATGCTGCAAAATAACGATTATAATATCGGAGATTATTAAGTAGTCTTATATAAATTATAACCCTCGTAATGACGATTGTAATTTGGAGTTGATGTTTCATAAAGTTTGCATTATTTTGATAGAACGATAGGCTTTTACTTATTATACAGAAGCATTTCATATCTTCTTACCTTCAAACTCGTGCATGTAAGACCCCAAATTATCTTACTAAAAATAACCTTTCTCAAAATCTACATTTCTAATTTTGTATTAAACTGCGTAGACTAACATAGTGAAGAATGCAATATAATATACAGCTTTATACAATTGGTTATTGGCTTTACTCCTGATAGGCTTATGAAGTATAACTCTAGCCACACTTATGGATGGTAGACCTGCACACACTTTGCAAGGTACTATTCACATGAGGTTAAAAACCCAGATCAGATCGAGCTTAATTTTTAGATGTCAACATCCCTCCTGCACCTGTCTCTGACCCGGTGTATACTGATGCTGTAAAGGTATTCACATTGTGTTTGATAAATAACGCGTTAAGTTTTTTTTTTCTTCATAAAGCAGCAGGGGTGCCAAATCACTGTACTAAACAAGGTGTTATCACACATATTCTCCTCCTAAATCGACCTGCTGGTAACAATTGGGCGGGAAAAGAAACACCTAAAAACAGAGAAAGAGAGAGAGAGAAAGAGAGAGAGAGAGAGAGAGAGAGAGAGAGAGAGAGAGGGGGGGACAGAGAGAGAGAGAGAGAGAGAGAGAGGGGAGAGTGACAGAGAGAGAGACAGAGAGAGACAGAGAAAGAGAGAGAGAGAGAGAGAGAGAGAGAGAAAGAGAGGGGGGGGGGGGGAGAGAGAGAGAGAGAGGAAAAAAAAAAGGGGGGGGGGTAATTATGATATTCATATACTATTCGAGATAATTTCTTCTTTAGAGTATTTTGTAAAAACTATACCTTACGTCATTCTCATCCATCCATAAATTAGGGGAGTTGTTTTTTGAATATTTTAAGCGACAATATAAATAAATACAGTTGTATGCCAATTTAAAGCAAACACATGATCATAATGTATAATAAGATTATCGTTACTGTGTGCAGCTATATTAAATCTATTATGCTTTGTTATTACATTGTAGGGGCCTACTTTGATTGTCATCTACTGCCATCGTGAAATACTTGTTTTACTCTGTTACTTCATATAAAAATTCAAAACCCATAATAAACATTTCTAATTTCATTATATATCATAATACTTTACTATTCACAATAATCTATTTATGTGTCTGAATTAATTAGGTGAGTTTCCGCGACAATGGCAGTAGGCCTACGCAAAACATTACTTTGGCCATATATTGTACTTTGAATAGAGTTGAATGTTTTTATTACGCTTCATTGATTCTTAATAATCAATTTTGGAAAATTGGATGTTATTTTCTACTAAATCCATCAAATGATAACAACGAAATATAGAACCACCTTTTAGGCATCCACTTCCAGGCGCGGATCCAGGATTTCTTAGGGGAGGGGGCCCAACTTTTTTTTTTTTTGCTCCCGAAAATTTGAAAAACGCGCCGGCCAAAAATTCGCTCAGTGGAGGGGAGGGGGGGGGGGGGGGGGGGGGGGGGGTAGTGAGCACATTTTTTTTTTTTTGATCCTCAAAAAAATTTCAATTTGCACCCCCCCCCCCCCCCCCCCCCCTTGAGCGCCAGGGGGGGGGGGGGCCCAACCCCCAAAAAAGGTAAAAATCACGTGATTTTACATGATTTTTTTCTCAAGGGGGGGGGGGCGGGCCCCCCGGCCCCCCCCCCCCCCCCCCCTGGATCCGCCACTGTCCACTTCTCAGGCCATGAGCAAACAAGGACATTATAAAGGCCATCCATATCCATACAGCTGCTTTTTCCTGGTACATTTTTAAAGCTACCGTAATACATAGGCGTATCCTAACCGGAAGCGGGAACCGTAGACGCGATCAAAGTAAACAGTGTCTGAGAATCGTGATTTGTGAGAAGTTTGTAAGCATTGATTGAAATTTGACCACAGTCTTATTCTTTGTAATAAATAGTGGATTGTCAGCAGCTCATATAAGTAGTATTTCTAAGAAATGAGCATATGAATCTTGTAGACATTTCATGCCCACAATGACTCGTCCCACGTACTGTAATCTGTGTTGGGCAAATTAGAATGTAGTAATATCGGCGTAGCTGCAGCTGATGCGCTCGCTCTCGCAGCTCAGCTGTCGCACAAGTTATGTATATCGACCACTATTACAAAGTATAAGAGCTCACATCGCATGAGAAGAAGTTATAATTTCGTGGTGTTTTCTTAATGAAAAGGGAACTTAAATTAACAATTTATACACTCGACATTCATGATCCTGCCTAATAAAAAAGTAAAAAATTGTTATTATTATTTGCTGGAGTAATAATTGTGGAGTACCAAGGTTGGCAATGTCCCAGAAAATATCTGTATTTCTCGCCCGGCCGGGAAATACTTGTAAGCGTACCATTCAAATTGTATAATGTTACATAACAAACGTAGCAATATGACTACAATCCATCAATTAGAACTTCATGTTTCTCAGTTGTTTATTTTCAACAACTTCATGGGTATCTAAGGACTTGGATCGCTTGTTTGGATATTCTATACATATTCTAAGAAATTATATCAAGACATGTTGCAACACCTTCTCCTGTTGGCTACCTTTGGACTGTCAATCTCCTGGCATAGAGTATATACGGTTGCAAAACCTATTTTACAGAATTGTTCTTGATTTGAAATGTTCTAAATCAACATACAATCAAACATGAATTCTGGTTAAAAAAAGTATAAAAATATGAATGGTCAGGCTCCTTCTGGAAGCATCCAAACTACTGTGTGCTCCATGAATACATGTACACATCAGAGAAAGCTCTTTCCTCCTGTATACAAATTGGGACTTGCCTATTGTCCTACTAGGACTTACATGCAGAATACAGAAGTGCCCCTCGGAGTGATATTGTGTATAATTGGAAATAATATGATGTTAATTCATCGGTTCACGTTACTGATTTCTATTTGTATTGCCCAGTATACAGTAGGGAGGTAGAGGCGACTATAAAATAATGATTTGTTAAGAGTTTTATCTTGTGGAATCTAATAATTATACAAGGTTTAAGGCAGACATTTGGGATCATTGAAAATTGACATACTGAAATGTAGTTAATGTTCAGTTCAAATATATATTTTAAATCTCCAGGGTGTACAGCAGCGATTCCAATACAGTCCAACATTTATTATATAGAGGATGCGTTGGAAGTTAAATTGAGTAGACTAAGAAACATTCAGCATTTCTCACTCTCCATTTCAAAGATGGTTCTTGCCATAGCTTAAATTGTTAAAAAATACTGTTTTCTGTCCAAATTTGCTAGGTGGTATTTAATACTGGCAAACATGAGTGCTATATAACAACCCATTATTAAAATTATTATCATTATTATGTGTTTTCTTCCTCAATTTTTGCATAAACTGAATTGCTTTATTGTGCCATCTTTGACCAGGTTGCTTTGATGCAGGCTTAACAACAAGCAATGGGTGTTAAAAGACTCCTGTCTTATGTCGAAGGACAATGCCCAGATGCATTTGAACATGTGGATCTTCGCAGACTAGCTGACCAATATTACCGAAGATACAACACCAAGCCTCAGCTTTTGATTGACTGCAATGGTTACATTCGGAATATCTATGGCAGACTTGAGTTTGGCTTAGGAGGACAGTGGCTGCAGTACCTCGAAAACATTAAAGTGTTTGTAAAGTATTTTCAAAATGCCGGATTTGAACTTCTTGTTATGTTTGATGGAGTTGTGGAAAAGAAGAAAATGAAAAGGTGGCTTGATAGGAGGAAAGATGAACGGAAAATAGTATCCAAAATCTTTGATGACATCAAGCGTTCAGGACAGCATCCAGACCACAAGCTGTTCCACATTCCAACAAGTCTTAGCGGTCTTACACGGATGGCTCTGAAGGGCCTCGGCGTGACTGTCTGCAGTTCCTCCATTGAAGTTGACAGAGAACTCTATCTTCATTGCAAAGAGAATCAAAGCTTTGGGATTATCAGTAGGGACACAGACTTTATGATCTATGATGTCCCACAGATGTTCTACATGACCTGCAGCAATGGACATGTGAAAGAAGTGCAGTTGTTTAGGAGAGATATCTTATGTCATCATCTGGGTATTCCTCCACAATTACTTCCTCTTTTTGCTTGTTTACTTGGTTGTGATACAGTGTCATTTCAAATGCTGTCTAATTTTCACCAAAGGGTGACCAGCGGCAAACGTGATCCTCTTGTTCCCAGCGTAGCAGGTTATATTAGATCTTTACAGCTTAAAGACCTGTCAAAGATAAGTCTTCACTCAGTAGCCAAGGACATAGGGAGCGCTTTCCAAGATGACTACTTGTATGAATGCGTCCAGGACTATGCATGTGAAAATCAAGAAGAGAATGATGTCCCATACTATAGTGATGCTGCTGATCTAGCTAGAGCTCCTGTTGAATTAACTGGTACATCTAAAATCAACCAGTCTGTGATGGACAAGATCAGGTCCTACCACAGGAATTTGGACATTACTGACTTTGTTCTGCCGGTCATAACCCATCAAGAGTACAGAAGTAACAAGACCATGGATGACGACACTGATACTTCCATGCCTTCTTCTGGTCTTGTGTATCGGCCTATCCGCCAACGCTTGTATGGCATTCTTCTGCAGTTACATGTGATAGCAAGGGGAGTTGATCCTCCTTCATGTGGGCCAGTGAATGCAGAGGGTCGTCCAGTGCAGTTTGGAACTGTGGAAGAAATGTGTGCTTATGCTGGAAATGCAATGAATGCCCCAGATGTTGTTCAAGGGATGCCTCTTGATATTGGTAAATACTCATTTGTGCAATATTTGAAAGATAATGAAATGCTGATGATTATACTAATGTATAGGCTGTATGTGGTAACAGATTTTCAGTGTTGTGTTTACAGTCAATGTGATTCCATATAGATTTCTTTTTTTAAAACATGGTGAGCTTAAGTGTGGACTAAGTATTCTGTATATTTCAAGTGAATCAATGTCATTATACACTTTGCATTATATGTTTCCATTTCACAAGATCGCATTTATCATCTCTCAACTTAGTGTTTCTTCAAACATGAGAGCCTGCCACTCAAAGACCTTTTGATTTTAATCAATGTATTTCTAGAATGTTGTTATTTTGTTATGATATGTAGCCATTGCCTGTCTATCTAAGAGAGACTACAAGGTTTTGAAATTGAAGTTTATTGTAAATAGAAACATGATTGTTTTGTTGTTGTTGTTGTTGGAGGGGGAATTAAGAAGGACTTTCTCTCCCTTCAATGACCAGCAGCTCCCCACCCCCGACTGGAAGACCTTTGGGTTGATGATACCACAACTGATGTTCAGAGGCTACGTCTCAAGGTCTTCTTCTCCTGCATGCACTGTACCAAGCTCCTTGAAGATGGGATCTTGGATGCCATCCCAGATCGTCACATCTTGCTCTGCTGCATCCTCCATTTCCTGCTCCTCCATGCCCCCGAGTCTACCCTCAGATCTTGTGACGTTGATGCCTTTGTGGCGCAAGCCATCTGCTTTCAGAGTCATAGGCCTGCATCACTGGAGCGATTGAAGGTTTGTCAGATTATTGATGGTATGAAGTTCGCAAGTACATGTACAGTGTATGAAGGCCTTGGGGTAGGAGTAAAAGTCTCAATCCATTATCAGGACAGTTGAAAGCCTGTGCCATCACACCCAATTCATCCAACTTCAAAGTGCTTGATATCATGCCTTTTGCCTACATTTGTAAAATACTTCACAATGCACAAAATATATGGCCGATTTAATAATATTTCATTCCTTTCATTTCATTTATTGGTTCAACCATTTAAAAAAAATCAAACATTCAAAATAACAAACGATGTTCGAAAGATATATACAAAACATATTTGACATACAAAGTCTAAAATGGTTATGGAACCCGAAAGAAGCTTGAGCTTATAAGTGGGGTTCCATAAACTTGTAAAACTGTATAACAATATCAAAGCATTTCAAAAAAACCTCTTGAGTGTATGACGTAGGGCTACACACTACACTAACTTTTTCACAGGGGGTCCCAATTTAAATTTGTTGGGTTTGTGTACACAGGGGCCCCTTTTGTATATCAAAGTTGTTGTTTTTTTTTGGGGGGGGGGGGGAGGGGTGTTGAGTTAAAAAGTGGTTGGTATGATCTTGAGATTTTGTAGTAGATTTTATTTCTTTACAACCCTGTCTAATTGTGTCATATTGATCTCCCTTAATTGAGTAAGCTGTTGTATTGATACCTTGACTCTTGCACACATACTTCTATTAAGTTTTAATACTCGTTTTGTCACCCATCACATTACCCTATGGGTCAGAGTGCTTAAAGTGGAAAACATATTTTTAAATGCTGTAAGTAACATTCTCTTGGACTGGCCATTTTCCTCTTATTTTCGTTTGGTTTGGAACATCTAATTTTGATGAGTTGTATTTCATTTATAAGCTGAGAATCTCCTCATTTAGAATCAGACCAAAGCTAAAAATGATGTCTGGCGACTCTTTATTTGGTTTTGGTGCCGGGTCACATTAACAAGTGCTTTTGATGGTATATCAAAATGTATGTTTGATGTATTTAGTTTAAAGGAATGTTCTAAAGGAATGAAATATTATAGGAGATCTTTTTCATTTAAAAGTTTGTGTATCATTGCTTTGTAAATCAACTGAATACCATCAAATATTGTATTTGTAGGTTCCCAGAGTAAGTCCCAGGGCCGTTCACCTAGCAGCAATCTTCGTGAGAGGTCTAACCACTGGTCTCTGTACGAACTCCACTTGCTGCCTCCCATTCCAGATGGAATCTCTAATGCCCTGGTATACCTTTGATGGCAAACTCTTCCACATCAAGTATCTAGCTGCTGAGAATGGTAGCACACTACATCAGCTGTGTGATAATAAGGTAGGCTTTTCCTTTGTTTACAACTACTTTTATAATCTGATTTCTTTAATTCTGTATGAACATTTAATCGAAAGAAGTTGTCTCTGTTTCACAAAAAACTTCAGTTGAAGCTAGGTTTTAGAACGAGATAAAAAAAAACTCTCTGTGACTAATTTCATTTAAATGCAAAATTTCTTGCAACCAACCAACTCGAGACATATCCCACAATTTTTCTGAGACTGCTTGTGAATACTAGTTGCAAAAGAAAGATTTAACTCAGCATCATATATTTGCATACTGTCAACAGAGCAATTGATTATACAAGACAACTGCAAGAATACTGTAAAAGGAACTTCAAATTACAATATTTCTTTTAATACTTAAATATAGACCATAAAGCATATTTCTCTTTCTAGACTGTATCAAGTATATATTAGGAATACAAACTGTATAATTGGAATATGATTTTGTTTTAAGTTCATTTTTTGAAAACTACTTATAAAAGGATATTTTTCATGATATTCCAGGTTGAAGATATGTATGAAAATTTCCTTAAGATTTTGATAGTTTGCAAATAGTTGACATTACCTCTACATTTTTAAAGAACAATTGCAAGTTTCCATCTTGTATGTATTATATTTGTACAAAGTAATTTTGATCTGCGAAATTAAGTCAGACACTTTAATCTCATCTTTGCACCTGGAACAGATGTGAATTTATTGCCCCAAAGTAATTAAAATGCTATCATTTAGTTGTTCAAATAGATGTAGAAATATGACTATCAATGCGAGGTGTGATAAAAGTTGTCATACATGTTTGCTCTCCCGGTTTATCAGCTCTGGTTAAGCATTATATGAAACCATCAGATAATCATTTGTGAAATTAATATTTAAAGGAGGTCAAGTGCTATATAATGAGTGAGGGGGGGGGGAGACAATTTTGTTTCTCTTCAGGTACATCTAGTTTGAATGGTGTCTGTGGTATCTTTGATCCTCCCACAATAGATTCTCTCGATGCAGATTTTATGTTTTATGAAAAATTCAGGAAATGTTTGTGATATATGATCTCTGAAGAAGTTGAGAGATGACATGGTTGCTATGTACTTGAGCCTTCATACTATGTGGGATAGAAGCAGCTGTACATGCCAAGATGGAGTATGATAAATGATGACACAATATGGACTTTTATTCATGTGGAAAATATAAAGAAGAAAGAGATGAGAGGATGTAAGAGGGAGAAGATGAAAGGACGTAGACTCAGAATTATGGTCGGAAGCTTCGTTGACACTTCTACGATGATAGCACTTTAGCCAAGTGTATATGGAGCGAGCTATGACAGAGTGTGGTGATTAATGGATGTTCATGTCATGTTGATAGAATATGAAGGATGCTTTCATGAACGGGATGTAAATCAATTTTATGATTCTACTCCAGAGAAAATGATGAATGTTATATTTACTAAGTGCTCCAAAAGCGCAATAAAAGTTGTGAAATGAAAGCTGTGACGTAGAAGAAATTGTTTCTTGCAGACAATATCATGTAAAGGAAATTTGGTTATATCGTCTGTAGTAACCAAACTATGTTACAAGCTCATCTTGTATACTTTGCTTTACTTGGTTAATAAGTTGCTTTGTTCTACCCACATCTCTCCTCACTCTCTCTCTCTCTCTCTCTCTCTCTCTCTCTCTCTCCCCCCCCTCCCCTCTCTTCCTTCACTCTCCCCTCTCTTTGTATGGGATAGTTCTTTGGTAAATTGAAACTGTCAACTGGTCTGACTTTAACTTTCTTGTAAGAGGAAAGAGATATGATCAGGCAACATGAAACTCGTAAAATTGTGTTTGAATTTCAAATATTGAATTTTAAACAAATTGTAATTTAGATCCATTTAATTATATTATATCATTCTGAAATTTGGAATGTATCTTTTTTTTTACGGGGATATTGAAAATGTTCATGCAAAACATATCTTTACAACATTCTATTGAAAAGTTTTTTTTATAGAAGTTCTGAATTTCTGAAATAAAGATGCCGAATGGCAAGGATTATGTATTTGTTGTCAATATTTTAGATTTAGATATTGAAGAGGCTGTTTATTTGTAATCGATTGTGTATACTGCTAGAAAGAAGGTATGATAAGTGTTATGTTAATGAAGGAAAACAAAAACCTACTTTGATATCATCCAGGAGAAAATGAACAGCACAACATTTAAGTTGTACAATACACTTATATCTTTAATAGTAAACATAGTCTAATTATTCTAATATCAGGGGTATTATTTCATTGGCTACGCATTTGACAAAATCTTACTTTCTAGAAAGAAATTAAGGAAACATACAGTACATGTAACATGGAAACAAACTTCTACCAGATAAACAGGTACTGCCCTCTCAACTAACCGAGTAGGGTATATCATCCGTTTTAAGTTTCTACCCGAAACAATACAAATGTTAATGAACTGGTAGATGGTAAGCGGTTAGAGCCTCTGGTTGACCTTGGCTTTGGAAGTCCTTGTGTGACCCTGGGAAAACGGGAAGTTTGTTGATGATGGTGGTAATAAAAAGCATGGGAATTCACCCGATTACTTCCTGCCATGACTCAAGTGATACAAATACACAATCAGCGTTGGGAAACAATCATGGGAACCTGCCATCAAACAAACTTGTTTATTTGAATTTGTTATGCATCCATTGTTTGTTGACTTCATTTGAGGCAATGTAATTAGTGGCAAACTTCACTATTAAGTCATAATAGTAAAGTATCCACACTACCTTTTTTTTCTTCAGTGGGGGTCCATATTGAAATTTTAAAGATCGCCATGCATGCCCCCTCCCCTTCCCTATCTCAATTTTGGGGGTCCACAGTTAGAATGTGGGGATCTATGTGTAATGGACCTGTGTAAGGGTCAGGCCTTTCAATAAAGATATTAAGTTGGGTTGCATTCATCTTTTGGATATAAGTAATTAGCCAAATTGGATTACTTCAAATCCTAATAAGGAGTTTGGAATTAAACACAAAAACAATAGGAAAACAACTGTAATGTACAGTAGATATGGCACTAGGATCTAACTTTTGAGCTCTCATTTGCGTAGGACTAGTACATGGACTTCACTCTTTTTACAGCTGCTTAATTTGTTATTATTTTTTTTCTTCTTGAAAGGACATTAGTAACAATTCTAACCAAAATTTGATTTTGTGCCATTTGTTGAATTTCATAAATATCTTCTATTCATTGAAATCCAAGTAACGTAGCATTTTAAGAAGCACTTCTGAAGTTTGAAGTAGCAGTGAGTATTCATAAGTATTGTGAAAACAAGATATTAATATGTTTGGGGATAGGGCGTATGCACCTTGAAAGGATGAACTTAGTTACATTGTACTGGTTTTCTGTTGCAGGTTTCTGTTAAATTGATATTAAAATAGTGATTGATGCATAAAGTTTCTCAATATTAACACCTCCTAGATCAGTTAAGAGATGTTTAGGTTTTAAGTAATTGTACTGAACTAATTTTACAGAATATTCTATAAAGGTTGCACCGAACGCTTTAAACACATTCAGGATATGTTTTTTTTTTTTAAACATTTGATGATGAATGAATAAAAAATTAATGTGACTATTTCACACCCATATGAAAATAAAAACATCTCTAAATGAATTGTTTGAATCAATTTAAAAGAAATTCTAACTGTTTTATTGAATCATAAAGACTTTGATAGCTGTAATCAAGTCAGGTTATCAGTGGAAATGGTAAGATCAACATAAATAAATTGGTCATGGCCACTGGTGTATAAGTGGCAGTGGAACTCACATGACAGAGATGAGAGTAGCTAATGGGAACTTTCTGAAATCACACGGTCTACTATAATCCATCAGACCAGTATTTTGATTGTTGCTAGATAACTTCCTGAGTCAAGAAGATAGGCCAATAATATTTCCTTTCACAGAGGTTCAATGTTTGGAATACAAACATCGGAGGTCTACGTTTCTCATCGTACCACCATATTCATTCTGCATACTCACTTACGTACTGTTGATTCTGTTTTGGCTCTAATTATAATCATAAAGTGTTCGCACGTGTATCTTTTACAAGGATATGGGAAAATATAATGCTGTACTTTATGATCAAAATATAGTCGTTCCATATTTGTTTTTATTAAACAAAAGTTTTTCCATCTTTTTATTAGATTTTCTCCTTTGTCTTGGGGATGCTCAAATCACTTGATATTGAATACCAATATAAAAGAAATATAAGTAGAAAATGTTTTACACAATAAAGAAAGAATTGAATTAATATACTAACATGTATTAGTGAAAGGACCATCTACGGAGCTACAAGTAATTTGAAATCTCACGATCAAAAAAATATTTAAATATATAAATTTAATTGTAGAAATTTAATTTTGAGAAAGATACTTTCAACATTTGATTATTATTTGAATATTACATGAAATACCTTTTTGATCACCCATTCAAATTTCAAGTCAACATGCATATTATTCTCAACTTTTTTTTTGCTTTGATACAAGTCCATCATAAGTTGCTTTAATGAAGATCCAAACTGCTCATAACCAGTGGTTAATTATGAGATGAAACCATTAACATGATATCCAAGTACCGGTATAAACAATGGCCAAAGATCCCCTTCTATTGTTATTATCGCTGTGTGAATGGGGGAAGTGTTTGTTCTAATCTCAGAGTTATTTTTATGTTTCATTCTTTACTGAGGGTATTAAAAGGGAATGTGCTTTCTTTTTACAGCTGATTTTCACTGGTATCCGGCCTCGTGGTATTTCTCTTTTTAAAGAATTTTCTGCCAGGAAGTTCACATGCTCGAGTGTACTCTCTTAATTTATATTTTAGCAAGCATTGTCTAAACAACATTACCTAATTTTTATCTTTATCTTGAATATGGTATGGATCATGCCACAAAACTAGATATTAAATTCTACTCCAAATTATAATGTATAATGCAGGTTCTTTATTTTGTTCTATGATGTACTTACTGTAATTTGTAAATATCTTTAAACAAAAATATTCACTTTATGTGGACAGATGTGCACACAAAGTATTACTTTTCAAACATGATATTTGCATTGCTTACATTATGTTTTTCATTATGTAGTCTTTTATATCTTAATTCACATCTATTTTTTATGTTGACCCTTTGAAAGTGGAAAATAAAATTCAAAGTCTGGTCAAGTTCAAGATGTTTGAAACCATATATGCTTTATGGTTTAATACACCGATGACAAAACAAAAATTAATTAGGGATATATTATCAAGACTTTTACGTATAAAGTAGATACATATTCAATAGAGATGCATACCGTACACACACATATTGAGAAGATAATGAAATTTCTTAACCTTTTCCTTCACAATACTGTATTTCTGTTTCATCCCATTTTTTTTTTAAATTCATGTTCTTTTTTTACTTTTTTAAACAGCCCAGAGCAGTGGAAATGTGCCACAAGATGAGAGATTGGATCGTCAAGGGAACCAGACTTCAGAGTAACTAGCTACAAATATTACTTGTAAGTAAATTGTTTTGCTAGAAGGGTATTACTCTTTGTACAACACATGTCTATATAATGTTTCGGTGCTGTTGTTGATGTTGGTTTTTATTTGTTTGTTAGTTAATTTCTTGTAGTTGATGTTTATGTTATATGGTTTAACTAATGCCCTGGCATAACTTGCTTCAAAGCCAATGTCTTAAACTGTTCATATTCTTAACTTCAACCCTAGAGCTAACATTACATTTAACCATAAACATACCATGAACCTAAACTAAAAGCATGTTACAACCTGAACTGTAATGCTGTATGTTACACAAAATAGAACCTGAACATAAGCTGGATAAACCAAAGAATGCATATTTCTTTAATTAAGTTGATAAAATATTGGTGCAGATTTTTTGAGGGCTATCTTTGGCAGAAACATTAAGAAATAACTTTTATTGGAAAAAAGAAATAATTGTACTTAAATACCACTTTGCTTTACCCAAGAATGTGAGATAGACAAGGTCGAAGAAGACAATAATTTTTGTAAATTAATGATTCATTATCACTAGAGAAAGAAATGTAAAACCCTTCACTTATCTTATAACTTTCTCTTAACTGGTTATGCCTAAACTAGCCCTACTTGTGTCAATGCAAAGAAGTACATGGAGACGGAAACAATATGTGTTACTTCCACTTCTATCTTTCAACTGTGCCATCTTTACTACTCTGTAAAACATACAAAACTATAACATTCCACCCGTCTTGGAATGATAGTAGCCTGCCTATAGCATTCCTCCTTCGTCTTTATTGGTATCAAGAGAGAGTCCAACCTGCAAGAAACTGGGCCTGTACTCAGTGTACTGTAAGTTAAGGAAGAAACAAAGTCATATTCACATCACAAAATTAATGTCAGCTCTTTCTTTTCTATCTTTAGTTTTGAACAGAATTTCTGGAGAAAAAAAATATCAGTTCGTTTTTGAGGATTAACTATTAATGTAATGAATTATAGAGAGTAAGCTAAAGCTTTTAAAATTCATTAATTTCACTTAAATTCAAGATTACTAGAGTATTATATAAACAGGAGACTTTTTGAATAATCTGCACTGTGTTTTAACCTAGAGCACTGTATGATGATTTCATGAATATGAATTGGGCAAAATGAGGACGAAGTGGACCGCCAAAAATCTGCCTCCTCTCCAGGGGCCAATAAGCACATAATAAGATTGATGCTCCTGGTATCATACCATGTCTGAAATATTTAAAGTTAGAATCCATGCCCATCAGCCAGTATCATACCATGTTTCAAATATTTAAAGTTAGAATCCATGCCCATCAGCCAGTATCATACCATGTTTCAAATATTTAAAGTTAGAATCCATGCCCATCAGCCAGTATCATACCATGTTTCAAATATTTAAAGGTAGAATCCAAACATAATAGCCAGTATCATACTGTGTCTCAAATATTCAAGGGTAGAATACCAGCTAAACTGGAAGTATCATACTATGTCTCAAATAGTTAAAGTTAGAATCCGTACTAAATAGTCAGTAAGCCGGTATCATACCTTGTCTGAAATATTTAAATATTTACTTGTCTGAATAAACTGAACCTGACTAATTTTTTTAATTTAACCCCTTCTGTGCATGAAAACATGTTTGAGGAAAAAAGGATTACAAAAAGAGCCAGATGTGAAAAGACCTCCCCCCCCAAAAAAAAAAAAAGAATAATATAAAAACCCACAACAAACAATTCAACCCCAAAACTTTCTTTTAAGAACAAAAATGTGGGTGTTCAATTGAAATGGGGTGGGTGCACAGTTGCTGATGCTCCCAGCACGATGATGGGTTCTATCTCAGCGAGACACGCATGGTTCTCGTGCCAGCACAACATGGTAGTATGTTGGTTGCTAGGTAACCAAGGATGATGCTGGTGTAGCCATCATACTGTCTTTACTTGACACAGGTCAGGAGCAAAATTGACAAGGAATCACAGAATGTTGGACAGGTGTATTAAAAAATATAGAGAATAAGATGAATATGGAACAGGGACAATCGTCATGTGGTGTAATAGAGAAACTCAGGCAAAAACAAAAAATAATTGATGATGCGTGTATGGTTAGAAGAGATATCTAATTAATGAAAGACAAAAAGGAGAGGGGGAGGGAGGGGAGAGAAAGGAAGGGAGGGAGGAGGGAAGGAGGGAGGAAGGAAGGTAATAATAGAAGGATGGTGAGAGATGAAAAGAAAAGGAGAGTAAGGTCGAAAGTGAGTGTGCTCTTGATTTTGAAGTTGGGATTCTTTGCTAAAATTTTGAGTGTCAACCCCAGCCCATCAAATGAAAAAAAAAGTTGAAAATTAACATAAACAAACAAATATGTATGATGATGATGTTATATAAATGTGCTGCATTAACTACATTACTGAGATAAATAAAGGAAAAATTTGATGATACTCGTGAGTGGAATGAGATGAATTTTGGACCAAGTCACTAAAATTGAGAAGATGATGATGGTGATGATTATGATGATGGTGATAATGGTGATGATTATGGTGATGATGGTGATGATTATGATGATTATGGTGATGATGGTGATGATTATGATGATGAGGGTGATGATGGTGATGATTATGGTGATGATGATGATGGTGATGATGGTGATGATCATGATGATGATGGTGATGATTATGATGATGATGGTGATGATGGTGATGATTATGGTGATGATGGTGTTGATTATGATGATGATGAACTTGATGATATTGATGCTAGTAATGAAAGTAGATGTGAACAATGAAAGCTAGCTGATACTATATGTTCTGATGAATAGAATGATTTAATTAAGTTTCATGGCATTGATACTGATTACATCTATAACTCAGCTGCAACAAACTCTTACCAATCACAAACTTGCACTGATGCAGAAAATGTATGACCCTGGCAAATCAGTCATTTCCAAGATATTTTTATTGCCCTTTTTTCAACATCACAAACAAAATTAGATTTTCTATTAATCAATTAGAAACCTGTTGTTCCCCTTTAACTATCACCCAGTGTCTAATGGCGGGAGGATATTTCATCCTCATGCACCAGAGCACACATCTCTTCTAACTTTATTATCAATATGTAGAAAATCCATATCTTTATTGCTTTTTTCCAACATCATTAAGAAATGCAAATTTTTCATTAGTGCATAGAAACCTGTTGTTCATCTTCACTATCCTACTTTTAATGGCGGAAGGATATCACTGTTAGTTGCATGGATGCACACATCTCTTAACATAATCACCCTATTCTTTTTGGTTGGCACGTGGAGGCACGGGCCAGGGGTTGAGGCGTGGAGACACGGGCCAGGGTTTGGGGCAGGCGTGGTCACCACCCCATGCAGTATAAACCCTTTGATTAATATACAAGGTTGTCATTAATACCATCAAAAAGAATCTACAGGTTCATCGGATCACTAATGCACAGTGTCCTTTTCACTCATATGCAGTGAATTGCTTCAGTGATGATGACAGTTTTTGATTTGTTTGAATTTTTAACTTTCAAAATGGCAGGGTTTAGGATATATCATTATCCATGGGACAAGTCAACCAGAAAACTAGATTCCATGGAATGATTAATTAAGCAATCAAAACTTTATCTTTCTAGCCTGACAAGCTTGTATCGGTAAAATGAAGCTTATACTAAAATCAATTATTTACTGATATTAATATTCAGAATATACTCCAAGTTTGAGCCTCTGACAATTAGTAAACTTGTGCATCATGCCTAAATCTATTAAAAAACAACATGTGCACACTTGAAGAAGAAAAAAAAAGTACCAGAAGTAAAAATGTTAGGAGCAACAGGACCTTTTCTATGTGCGTTATACTTGTGACAAAATTTGTTCTTAAACAATACAAATGGAAGACTAGTACATAGGAGTGTTACTTTAATACCAAACAACAGTAAGATCTATTTCAAGTGAGTGACATGGATACCAGGAAGAAAAAAAAAAGATTAATTATATAACTAAAACCGGGAGAGCTTTTTCCCAACCCATGTGACTTTACATAAATAAATAGCACAGAATAGCAAGATATAACAAATAATTACCGGTAATTGCAAGTATATTGTTTTATTATCAATATTATTTTTTTAAACTTTCTTTTAGAACAACTTAAAGTTCTAATACAGGATCAGCATGTCTGTGATGCCTGCATGTTCCTTTGATTTCAATGTGTTAGAAGAGTATTAAATTTCTTTATTTCTTTAAATTAAAATTTGTTTCCTATACGTGTAAAGGCTCATCCAGCTTGATGTCATTGGTCGCTAAAACTAAAACTAAAACATTTTTCAATTTTACCAAATTTTTAATATCATCAATTTTAGCATGATTATTCCCTGTATTTTGTTTTCATAGTCTTGCTATAAACCAGTGACCACAAGTCACTACTTACAGTTTTTTACTTTGTATTTTACATTTTGTCACTTTGAATGTTGAATAGAACTTTAATGAAGTCTGTGATTAAAAGTGAAACCAAACTTTTAGATATTTATGCCCTGTGAATTCCAATAATTGAAGTGACCTAACTGTTGATAAGGTCATTCACTTGTCTTCTGGTTAGTGCCTTTATCGACCTCTTCTTCAAAGGTTAGTTTGACCATGGACCTATTACGATTTGACCTTTAATGTTACAGAGTAGGATATGATGTCAGATGCAGACAAGGAAATGACATTAAAACAAGGTAGAAATAAACTGGTATCAATTGTATCGATTTAAGCCCTAAAGGATAACAGTAACACTCACAGAGATAGTTTCATTTGTTTGCATTACTGTATAATACATGGTAAATGTACAGAATAGAGCTATCTCCGCCGGAATTTTTTTCTTCGATATTAGTTTTTACATCTGTAACTGTAATATCAATGTGTATGGATAAAATAGAAAACATTTATGTGACATTTGTCTTATCGCAAAATTTCAAATGATAATTTTCATATGTAAATACTCAAAATACAGGCAAAATAATATTTGTTCACCTTTCTTTTT